CCTCCCAGTGTCGGCACTCACACCAGACTTTCTACTTGAACAACCATGATGTCCTTCTCCCTCCTGATGACATGCGCAAATGAAGCAAAAGAAGTCTTGCCTTCCTTATTTCTAAAGAACATTCTGGCCGTACTTCCTCAAAGACATAGAACATTTGAACTCACTCAGGGCACTTCTTACAAAAAGAATACATTCCAGCAGAGAGAACTTAGCTGAATACCTTTACCATAGTTGGATCGCATCCCAATAGGTTGACCATTTGGACATTTATAAAATCATTCTCAGGTCACAGCAGCCAAACATCTGAACAACTGAAATGATGGCCACGGCTGGAGCTGCTTCTCTTGTGAGGCCCGCGATACTCGCTGGTTTTGATTGTGGGGGATGCCAGCCCCTCACCACTAATCGCGGGCTCCATAGACGCAATTGTACGGTTTATATATATAAAATAGTAAAGTCCTAGAGAGCATGAGAAATGAAAGAGAGATTGAAATAATGGAGTCAGACACATTTCTTGGTAGCATGCTCACCTCTGCCCGCTTGGTGGTCCATGTAGAGATAGAGGGGTGGGGAGGAGGACAAGGGGAAAGGGAACAGGGGAGCAAGGACGGGGAGAGGCGAGGGAGCTGACGAGAGGCCAAGAGGATCTTTATTGCTAACCAAGGCTTATATATCTTTGGGGGGCATGCAAATCCACTAATTACAGGTAAAGACATACATCACAGCAAGGGGTTGCACTGTAGGTAATACAGCAATGAGAGGGGACAATCTAGGGATATACACGCAATAGGCAGAAGAGGGATTGGGGGTATACATGTCACAAGATGGGTGGATCCTAGATTCAGGATGGCAGCCTAACTTTGGATGTCACTGAACATGTTTGACCTGTTCTCTGGATCTCCATCAAAACCATTATCAGTAGGGTGTAAACCCTACCTACAGGGATCAGACCAATGTTCATAAGCTTTTAGGGAGAAGTAGCCCATTGTCCTTAACAGCAGGGAGTGGGCACCTCTTGTAGTGGGACCAGACAGTAGTCTGGCAACTGACTGCCTTCAGGGAGGTAACTTGACAATCATTTACCATTAGTTGCAAGCAGTGTCCTGAGTCTAATGTATATTTGGGGGAGATGACTTGGGAGAAATCTTTCTGTTTTCCACAATTGATGATTTTATGAGCCTTCTATGGCCACAAGGGTGAGGTTCCCCACCTGTTCTAGAGGAAGTAAGTTGTGGGGAGGGGGCAATTCTAGAGAAAAAACTTCATAAGAACTCTGAGCCAATTATAAGGATTTACATATAACCTCTTCCCTGGGGGACGGGCAACAGAAAAGTGGGTGAAGGGAGACATCAGACAGTATAAGATATGACAGAATAATAATTTATAAATTATCAAGGGTACACGAGGGCATGGG